AAAAGACAAGTAGTGATTTTACAGCATCTTACTACGCAGATGGACAGTGACTGTGAAGGGGTATGTGGGGGGGACTTGGTGAAGGGGGGAGCCTAGTAAACATTATGTTCTTTCTTTAATTGTAGATTAATGATACCAAAATAAAAAAGAAATGCCTCCAGACCCATTCTGCAGGACCTCTTCCAACACTGATCTCTGGCCATGCAGCCCGGCCTTCCTCATCTGCTCCCGCAGCTTCTTGGAGGTAGGACTGCCAGCTCTGCATCACTGTCGCACCTGATGTGGTACCTACACCAGGTGTGCGGTGAGCCGCAAACAGCAGTGAGATTACCCACTGGACTGGAGCCGCCATCTCACATGTACCACTTCCACGCCCACAAAACCAAAGCCACGGAATGCAGTGCTACCTCCACCTAATTTAGAACACTACTCTGAATACTCAAATGACAAGACACTGGCACAGTGCTGCATGTTTACATCTTTAAAAACGTATTTCAAAACCTCATATTAATTTCACCAACATTGGCCGAGCAACCTCCTGCATGCAGGGCCAAGGGACACAAGAGACACCCAGTTCACCAGAGAGGCCTGTTATCAGAGACCTACAGTCTCACGAGGGGCTGTGATATACCAAGTGAAGGTCACAGCACAGGTGCTGTGTGCAGGTCACCAACACGGTGTTCTGCTTAGAGAGGAAGGAAGAATGACTCCTGCCCGGTAGATCGGGAAAGGCTGCATACAGGAAGCCCTGAGGTGGAAAACAGCGCATGGGTAGAGCAATGGATGTGCCCAAAGTGGCCTGCAGGGGATGGAGGCTGTGGGTGTGGCTCCAGGGATTGGGTGAGGGCCAGAGATGCTATCGGTAACACAGGCAAGGCCTGCTACACCAGGGCCCTACTTGGCCTGTCTGAGGAGTGGGGAGCCAGGGAACAGCCTCCCTTTTCAACAGGCTTCTCCAAAGTTTCAAATAGACAGTGTAATTTCATCAAATCAAAGAGTGGCCAGATCACGAAGCAAGTGTTTATACTGATATATCCTCATTGAAAAAGTAACCAATTAAATAAAAATGTACTGACTCCCACCTTCTAAGAGCTATTGAGGGAACAAGACCTGGTCCCTGTAGTTAAGGAATATCCGAAAGCTCCAGGTTGAGCTTCAAGGCTTAAAAATAAGTGGTAATCACCTCTGAGCCATGCTGAGAGAACGCCACCCTAAGGACAGAAATACGTCACTAGCTGAGGCACTAGCCTGGGCCAGAACAGTAACGTGAGAGAACAGTGGCAGAGGTGCCAGGCCTGCCACAGCTGTAGGACCGCTTGACAGAACCGTTGCCCTTACGTCGCTCTCCGTGATGGTGATGGGAAGACCACGCAGCATGATGGTCTTGCTCTCCCTCTCGTCACTTATGTCATGCCTGTAGTCGTGCTCGCCATAGTCGCCATCTGAATGGTAGCCATCTTCGGATCGGTCACTGTTCCTTCTTTCGCGTTCTCTCTGATTTACGATAAATAAAATTGCAATTAAAACCACACTAGGTTCATACCCTTTGATCCAGGCCCTGCAATCCTAGGAGTCCGGCCACAGGAACAGCAGAAGACTGTATACAGGAGCGCCCTATGACGGTGCTCGCTGCAGTGCTTTCTAACACGGCCAAGATGGGCAACAATCACTGTGTTCAAGAAGGATGGTTTAACAACTTGCTGTGTGGCACACTAACACACAGACACTACTACCTGCTAGAAAAAGAAGAGTATGGGCATGGGAAAGTGAACCATGCAACAAAACACAAAAACCAGTGCAAAATCACGAGCAGTACTACTACCTCTAGACAAAACCGTGTCTGCATATGGAAAGGAACGTGAGAAACGCTGTGCCCAAGATGACTGAAACTGCAGCTTTCAGAACCACGGTCTGAGGGCCAGGGCTGGCACGCTGTTATGCCCTGACTGCCTCACCTTAGACTGGGAACAGCACCTACCTCACAGGGTTATAGTGGGACCTGAATGAGATCACGTAAGTGCACTGCTCCAGAGTGGCACACTGTGAGCCTGTGTTAGCCTCGGCCAGCATCTCTCACCACCAGGTCCCATTTGTCAACAGGTTTCAGAATATAGAACCTGAATATAATACTCAACAGGAGAGATTTCTACCCTTGCTCTGTTTACTTCATTTTTGAGATCTCAGATGCTGTTTGGTGTGTGCAATTCATTGCTCTAACGCCACCACGAGGGCAGGCGCTCACCTCAGGGCTGTCGTAGTCCCGGTAGTCGTCGTATCGGTCGGCCCGCCGGTCCTCACTTGGCCTCTTGTAGTCTGAGTCCCTCCGCCGGCTCCTGGAGTCACGCTCATCGCGCTCATCCCTGTCTACGATGGAGCCATACCTTCCACTGCGTTCCGTTCTACTCACTCTGTGGGGAAAGAACAGTCACTGACTATTTTAGACCTTTAGGAATACGGCTGAACCTCCTTTCCCCCAGCTCAGTTCGTAAGATACCTAAATACTTTCAAGTATTCCTTAAATTTTTTCACCAAATTCCACTTCACAAAGACAACCACTGGAAAAACATTTACATCCCTTAATGCAGAGAAAATTTTCATGAAGTCAGGTTAAATCTCAAAATACAGCTATCGAACTTCTGGGTTTTAAAACAGTTCTCAGAAAGGCTCAAGTTGTGAAGCTTATCCTGAGTTCTCCGAAGCCTGTGCTCCACACATTACCCTGCCACCCCTGAGTCAGACCTTAGAGAGCAGAGAAAGAGAAAGCAGCTGTGAGCATCTCACCCAAAGCCAAGGGAGAGCGCATCCTGACTCTCAACGGCATCAACCTACTGGGAAATGGGACCAACAAGCTGGCTGAGTTAAATCAGTCTCTGTTCTCCCATCAGGTAATTAATCAAGTTGGATACAACTAGCACTGTCAGAGAACATTTCCTGTAACATCTGGTTTATATTTTGGTTACTGGGCTGTACTGGGCTTCATAGGAAAATCTGGTAACAAGTGACTTAGCCCATTCAAATACAAGCATACAGTTCTTCCATAAATTGTGTACCAAGTTCATAAAATGACTGTGTAAGGACAAGACAAGCGAAAAGTCTTGTAAGGCCTTCATTAAGAGAACACAAATTTAATCAAACTCATGAAACAATTAGTCTAGGACCTCCTCAAAATATGAAGTATGGGGAAGAGAGACCTTATAAAGGGTAAATGTTGATTTAAGAAGTTATTTGGAACCACAACACTACTGACACTGCTGTCACATCATGTGACATGACATTTCCTGAGTCCCTCTGGGCCATCAATTTGATCTTGCTCTCACAGGGGACTGGATTTCTCGCTGAGGCAGCTGTGTGTAAGACAAATGGTTTGCAGGATCCACGGATGACACAGCACCCAAACCCTATCATCTTCATTCCCTACTGATTCTTCAGCAGTCTTTTTCTTCTTTTTTTCATGTAACCCATGGTCCAAAGCTTCTCCCCTCTATAAAGCTGATCTTCCTACCTTGGAGTGGATAACAGCAAGCCCAGCATCCGCTGGCTGTTTATTACAGCCATGGACCACGCAGGGCCAGACTTGGCCATACTTACCTCCTGGCTTCTGCACAGGCTGTTGTCCACACTGGGAAGCCTTGGTGCCCTACCCTACCCAGCCCTCTAATTCTCACTTACCCTCCCCTCAGAGAACACTTTCTCCAGGACGCCTTCCTAGCTGCTTCCAGGAAGACACATCTTCCTGCGCACTCTAACAACCCCCTCAACTTCTTTCACACAGCACAGTTCACACAGTATTCTTCTTCTCCCACTAAACTGCATGCCTGTGAGAGTAAGGATCGTGAAGGTGTTCACAGCAATGCCTAGTACAAAACAGGCACTCAAATATTAGTTTATAAACAGCTTTTAACAGTTCTGTCCCCACTGAAATGCTGAAATCAAAGGCATGTAGAGCAGCAACTTACCGTTTGTCTGAACCCATTGTCCTGCTGAAGATCTAGCACACTGCTCCAAAAGGTTCCAGTGCTGTTTTTTTTCTAGGAGACAAGGGAGACTGGTTGCTGCTAATCTGAGAGATCACTTAAAGTCAACCGTCTTAGAAGCTGGGACACTACAGAGGTTGGACTTTCATCAAACCATTAAGGGGGCTTCTCTAAGGTGGCAGAGAGAGAGGTAGGGACCAGCTGTCAACATGAAAACCATGCTAATGTTTTGTTAATAATGAGCCCAGCAGATGAAAGATACTTTAAAATATTAGATTCCACATTCAATGAACAAACACATAAAAGGGTGCAAGCACAAGATGCCTTCCCCGGTCCTACTTGAGGATTACAAAGCAAAAAGGAAAGGGCTGCAATCAGTGTCCTGTGTTCTGAATACAAGCAACTCCGGTGGGTACCGTTAAAATGTTAACCAAGGTGTCTTTATCACTACAAGGAGCGGCAACGTTCAGAGATTTCTGATGAAACATGTAAAATCTTTCAGAAGCTAGGATGCCGAGCTAACGGAACTCCATTTACAACGCAACGGCCGATCCGAAGCTGCTCACTCAGACCGGAGCAAACCGCCGCACGAATCAGGCAGGTCCTCAGCAACGAGGACCACCGCAGCCCCCGGGGCGGCCTGCAGCGCGCAGCCCGACGTCCGAGACGCTCGCTACCCGGCCCCCGCGCAGCCGGGAGCCGTCGGCAGACCTCCGGGCGCAGTCGCCGCCGCCGCGCGGCGTCTCCCGACTTCCTGCAAGCGCCCCTGCCGCCCGAGGCTTCCAGCCAGCCCGGGGGCCCTCGCCCGACAGCCTTCATGGGAGTCGGAGACGCGCCCCGCCGGGAGGGGGCCCACGGCCAGAAGCCGCGGGCCCCGAGCGGGGCGGCAGGAAGCCCTGCGCCGGCTGAAGGAGAGGAGGGGCGCGGCCCTCCCCCGCCGCCGGTACTTCGAGCCGGCCGGGTTACTCGGCCGCAGCCCCCGGCTGGCGGGGAGGCTCCATAGAGCCCGCACCACCAGCAAGGGCCGCCGGATACTGCCGGCGGCCGCTGCACTCACCCCCAGACGGAGCAGCAGTAGCGGTTTTCCGCCCCAGAATCTCCAGCGGGGTACGGCCACTTCACAAAATGGCGACTGCGTCCACGGCCGTCTCCTGCCCACAGTGCCTCGCGCCTGGCCCCGCCCCACCCCGAGCACGCGTCCAATCGGCGCAGGGGCCTCGCCGCGCGCCGGCTGCCGGGAAGTGTGGTCGCGGGGCTGCCAGTCGCTCGTCGCTCGTACGGCATTTCCGGCGTGTCGCTGCCTCCGGTCCGGGGACCTCTGTAGGCCGGGCGCACGCTCGCCTGCGTCGGGATTGGCGATCCCTTGCCGTGGCTGCAAGGGCCTCAGCGTAGTTTGCCTTCCCCGACACGAAGAAGACATCAATCACACTAGGGAACGCTGGTGACCCCCTTTGCTTACAAATGTCTTTTCATAACCTATGAGACAGTTATTAAACCCATTTTGCAGGTGAGGAAATTGAGATCTATAGAAATTAACAGAATTATTGAAGGGAGCGTATCATTCCAGTAATGCTGCCTAGTCTGAAGAAGGGCTCAGTCATCTTCCTGTCACGTTACTACTCGGGCGTCTGATAGCACCTCAAAGCGCACAGCTAGAACCCTTCGCCTCCTGCACCGCCTCCCCCAGCTCATGGCCACCTGCTCACAGTCACTCGGGACAGAAACCCTGGAGTCCCCCACGTCTTCACTGTCACACTCGGTTTGTTGGCAGATTCTACTGACTCTACCTTCAGGACGTATCCAGGACCTAACCGCCTCTAGCTCTTCAGCTGCCCTCACCCGTCAGAGCCGTCATCGCTGACCCTGTGTCAGACAGTAGGTCACAGAGCTGACAGTGGTTAAGCGTGGAATCCATGCTTTCAACCACCGGAATGTAAGCTCCAGAAGGCAGGGACTTCTGTCTAGTTATTAATTTCACTGCTATATGCCCAGCGCTGCTAGTGGTGCCAGGCACACGATATTCACTCAACAGTAAACGTGTTGAATGAACAAATGAATCCACTATCAGAGCTGAAAGTGTCACACGGCAGAAAGAAGCTGGGATCCTTGGGGCATCTGAGAGATATTTTGGACTGACTGGTCACTGAGATGGTGGTATTAGGGTGCATCCAGTCAGCATAGCTTCCCCTCTGGACTTATTTACAGATGTATTTTTAGTGGAACTGCTTTTTAGCTCATATGCACAGATTGAAAAATTTGACCATGACAGGACAGAGGAAGATAAACAGTTGGCAAACCGCACCCACACTCTTCTCTTCCTGGATAAGAAATCTGTCAAGAGTAAGTGGAAGGATGTCAGTGAGGAGACTCGAAACCAGAAGCTTCAAATACACTAGGAAGTCTTTTTTCTGAAAGAACATCTTTAAACATGTTCTAACTATGGCTGATCCGTCTACATCAAGGGCATTAAGTAACTGACACTGTAAACTCTTTGGGTAATTAAAAAATGACAACAGATGGAAAGGCAGAAATCTCTGGATTCTGGAATGGGTAACATTTCCTTTCTCTCTTCCTTTCCCCCTTTCTATCTATTTAATCTGTCATCTGTCTAAATATGTTCAGACTGTTGTAACAAAATACCACAGACTGGGTAGCTCACAAACGACATAAATTTATTTCTCAGCCTGGGCCTGGAAGTCCAAGATCAAGATGCCAGCCGGGCTGAGTGGCAGCCTTCTTCCAGGCCCCAGACTCTCACTGTGTCCCCACATTGTGGAAGGGGCTAGGGGGCTCTGTGGGATCTCTTTTCCTAAGAGCACTAGTTTCATTCATGACATCTCCATCTTCATGACCTAATCACCTCCCAAAGGCCTCACCCACTCATACCATTACCTTTAGGGATTAGGATGTCAACATGAGTTTATGGGAGGCCACATTCAAACCATAGCACTGTCTACACAAACACACATACATAGATGTACGTACCCATATACAGTGTTCAGCTTATGGGGAAAGTATACGTTATGTAAAACTTTTGTCATCAGAAAAAGTAAATGTATATGACCCTCGAAGGCACTCAAATATTTGTCTAATGAAATTTAAGTAAAATGTAGATAGGGTCATTGCAAACCCTGCAATAGATGATACAGATGCTAAGATTCCAGAATCCATCAGACCTAATAGCCACCAGTAGTTGAAAGCCTTGTTCCCCAAGCAGTTCAACAAGCGCTTCTGAGCATCCCTGAGGTGCCTGATAGGCTGAACTAGTCATTAGTCATAAAAACTAGACAGCTATTTATAAATGATACAAAGTCATTCCTACAATGGAAGTTGCCTAAAAAAAAACAGACAGTCTACCCAGCGGGAAGTGCCACCCTCCATGTTCTCTGGGAGCTGCCCTTATCATGGACACTGCCCGCTGGGCTCCAGGGTTGTGCTCCCAAAGAACATGTCTGGAAGCTGATGGGGATCTGGGAAAGTTTAGTGACTCCCCAGCTAAATAAGGAAAAAAAAAGACAACTGAGTGAGTTGTTTTTTGATCGAAATAAAGCCACATATGTACCATAAAGAATAAAGGACAGTCCTTTAAGATTGCCTTTCACATTTTTGATATTGAAAAATGTTCTCTTAATCAAATGACCTTAGGTTTCTTCCTCCCTTTCTTTGTCTTTTCCTTAATTTTCCATTATTTGGCAAAAGAAATACTAGCTGACATGTTTTGGTCCCAGGCTGGGAACTACTGTTTCTGGAGGAAGGACCGAGACGACCGATGTGAGAACTCCTGCCTGCTCCAAGGAACGGGAATGATTTCTTTTGTCAGAGATGGGCTTTGATGAACTGAGGGAGACATGCATCAAAATTTAACTCAACGAGTCTTCCCCAGAGACCTCAGCATTACTCACCCATTTGAGTGCCTGCTATATGAGGCCTGTGACAGGCCTTTGGGATGTAGGAGTGAAGAAAATTACCCAACATACCTGTCTTACATGGTACAGGGGACTTCCCGGAGACATCACAGTGCGACATACTTTTCACACCCATTCCTACTTTGTTTAAAAAATTAAAGTATCATTAATACACAATCTTATGTTGGTTTCAAATGTACATCACAGTGGTTCAACAGTCCCCATGATCAACTTATATCTTGATTTTGAATTATTGTGCCCTTTTATCTCCCTCCCCTTCCCCTTGGTAACCACTAGTCACTTCTCAGGGTCTGTGAGTCTAATGGTGTTTTATCCCTTCTGTTTTGTTTTTATATTCCACAAGTAAGTGAAATCATATGGTACTTGTCTTTCTCCACCTGGCTTATTTTACTGAGCATACTACTTTCTAGGTCAATCCATGCTGTTGCAAATGGCAGGATTTCTTTTCTTCTTATGTTAGAATAGTATTCCATTGTGTATATGTACCACATTTTCTTTATCCATTTGTCTACTTATGGATGCTTAGGTTTCTTCCATATCTTGGCTATTGCAAATAATGCAGCCATTAACATAGGGGTGCATATGTCTTTTTGAATCAGGGATTTTGTTTTTTTATGTTAAATTCCTAGGAATGGAATTATTGGGTCGAATGGTATTTCTATTTTTAGTTTTTTGAGGAACCTCGATACTGTTGTCCACAGCGGTTGCACCAATTTGCATTCCCACCAACAGTGCAGGAGGATTACCTTTTCTCCACATTCTCACCAGTATTTGTTGTTTATTATCTTATGGATAGTGGCCATCCTAACTAGTGTGAGGCGATATCTCGTTGTGGTTTTAATTTCCATTTCCCTTCTGATTAGTAATGTGGAGCATCTTTTCATGTGCCTGTTGGCCATTGTATTTCTTCTTTGGAGAAGTGTCTGTTCAGGTCCTCAGCCATTTTTTAATTGGGTTATTTGTTTTTTGGGTGTTGACGTGTAGTTTTATGTATTTCGGATGTTTACCCCTTATGAGTCATTTACAAATATATTCTCCCATACTGTAGGATGCCTTTTTTTCTGCTGATGGTGTTCTTTGCTGTACAGAAGCTTTTTAGTTTGATGTAGTCCCACTTGTTCATCTTTTGTTTCCCATGCCCGAGAAGATGTGTTCAGAAATAAGTTGCTCCTGCTTATATTCAATAGATTTTTGCCTGTTTTCTTCTAAGAGTTTTATGGTTTCATGACTTACATTCAGGTCTTTGATCCATTTTGAGTTTACTTTTGTGTATGGGGGTAGACAGTAATCCAGTTTCATTCTCTTACATGTAGCTGTCCAGTTTTGCCAGCACCAGCTTTTGAAGAGGCTGTCATTTCCCCATTGTATGTCCATGGCTGCTTTATCATATATTAATTGACCATATATGCTTGGGTTTATATCTGGACTCTCTATTCTTATGTTCCATTGATCTATGGGTCTGTTCTTGTGCCAGTACCAAACTGTTTTGATGACTGTAGCTTCACAGTAGAGCTTGAAGTCAGGGAGTGTAATCCCCCAGCTTTGTTCTTTCTCAGGATTGCTTTGGCTATTTGGGGTCTTTTGTGATTCCATATGAATTTTAGAACTACTTGTTCTAGTTCATTTAAGAATGCTGTTGGTATTTTGACAGGAATTGCATTGACTCTGTAGATTGCTTTGGGCAGCATGGCCATTTTGACAATATTAATTTTTCCTATGAATGAGCAAGGGATAGACTTCCATTTATTGGTGCCTAATTTCTTTTATGAGTGTCTTGTAATTTTGAGAGTATATGTCTTTTACCTCTTTGGTTATGTTTACTCCTAGGTATTTTATTCTTTTTCTTGAAATTTTAAATGGAGCTGTTTTCCTGATTTCTTTCTGCTAGTTCATTGTTAGTATATAGAAATGCAACAGATTTCTGTGTATTAATTTTGTATCCTGCAACTCTGAATTCAGTTATTAGTTCCAGGAGTTTTTGGTGGTTTCTTTACGGTTTTCTATGTATAATATCATGTCACCTGCAAACAGAGTTTAACTTCTTCCTTACCCATTTGAATACCTTTTATCTCTCTGTGCAGTCTGATGGCCATGATGAGGACCTCCAGAACTATTTTGAGTTAACAGTGGTGAGAGTAGGCATCCTTGTCTTGTTCATCTTAGAGGGAAAGCCTTCAGCTTTTCACTATCAAGTACCATGCTGGCTGCAGATCTGACATGTACGGCCTTTATTATGTTGAGGAACATACACCCTGTATACCCATTTTGTTGAGAATTTTTATCATGAATGGATGTTCAATTTTGTCAAATGCTTTCTCAGTATCTGTTGAAATGATCATGTAGTTTTTATCCTTTTTGTTAATGTGATGTATGATATTCATTTATGAATATTGCACCATTCTTACATCCATGGAATAAATCCCATTTGGTCATGATGAATGATCTTTTTGACATATTTTTGAATTTGGTTTGCGAATATTTTTTCTTGGGGATTTTTGCACCTATATTCATCAGGGATATTGGTCTGTAATTTTCTTTTTTTGTGGTGTCTTTGGTTTTGGTATTAGAGTGATGCTGGCCTCACAGAATGAGTCTGGAAGTATTCCCTCCTCTTCTACTTCTTAGAATACTTTGAGAAGGATGGGTATTAGATCTTCTTTAAATGTTTGGTAGAATTTGGCTGTGAAGCCATCTGGACCTGGTATTTTGATTTAGGGGAGTTTTTTGATTACCAATTCAATGTCATTGCTGGTAATTGGTCTATTCAAATTTTGTTGATCAATTTTGGGTCAATCTTGGAAAGCTTGTATTTTTCTAGGATGTTTATTTCTTCTAGGTTGTCCAATTCATTGGCATATCATTTTTAATAGCATTCTCTAATAATTCTTTGTATTTCTGTGGTATCTATTGTGATGATTCCTTCTTCATTTCTGATTCTGTTTGTGTGTGTACACGTTTTCTCTTGGTAGGTCTGGCTAGGGGTCTATTTATTTTGTTTATTTTTCTCAAAGAACCAGCTCCTAATTTCAGTCATTTTTTTCTTTTGTTTTATTCTCTATTTTTGCTCTGATCTTTATTATGTCCCTCCTTCTACTGACTTTGGGCTTCATTTGCTCTTCTTTTCCTAGTTTCTTTGTGATTTTAGACTGTTTATTTGGGATTGTTCTTGTTTCTTGTGGTAAGCCTGTATTGCTATGTACCTTACTCTTAGAACTGATTTTGCTGCATCCCACAGATTTTGAGCTGTTGTGTTTTTGTTTACATTTGCCTCCATGTATTGCTTGATTCTATTTTAATTTGTTCATTGACCCACTGATTATTTAGAAGCATGTTGTTTAGCCTCCATGGGTTTATAGGTATTTTTGTTTTGTGTACTTTATTTCTAGTTTCATACCATTGTGGTCGGAGAAGCTGCTTGATAGAATTTTAATCTTTTTGAATTTATTGAGGCTTTTCTTGTGGCCTAGTATGTGATCTATTCTGGATAATATTTCATGTACACTTGAGAAAAATGTGTATCCTGCTGCTTTTGGGTGGACTGTTCTGTTAATATCTGTTAAGTGCATTTTATTTGATGTATTGCTCAGTGCCTCTGTTTCCTTATTTGTTTCTGTTGGGTTGATCTATTGATGTGAGTAGTGTGTTAAAATCTCCTAAAATGAATGTGTGGCAATCTATTTCCCTCTTTAATTGTTAGTATTTGCTTTATGTATTTAGGTGCTCCTGTGTTGGGTGCATAGATATTTATAATGGTTATGTCCTCTTGTTGGACTGAGCCCTTTATCATTATGTCATATCCCTGTCTCATGTTACTTCCTTTGTTTTGAAGTCTATTTTGTCTGATACAAGTACTGCTAATTCTGAAAGAGCAACAGGAAAGAAGGCTGTGGCAGACTGCCTACACCTGGGTAAAACAGCAGATCTCAAGGAAAAGGGTAAAGTAGGAAAGCTGTGACGCGGAGGGACCCAAGCCCTTCTCCCACCCCAGCTAACCAGAGGGAGGAAGAGAACAGTCCTAGGAGGGGGTGGAGGCCTAGAACACCCAGCCCTGAAGATCTGCTCTGGGAGCACAAACCTAGATTACATGGTGCTCTGGAGATTAATGGGGTTGGAAAGCTAAGACAGGTGGAATACTTGGAGAGTCTGAGATTACAGCTGCTTGTGGTAAACACGTATCCATGACCGGCCACTCTGGGACAAAAGAAAGGTGGGCAGTCTGAGAGACTTCCTAACAGCAAGAGGACTGCTAAAGGGGCAAGGACTGCACAGAGCTTGCTGCTCAGGAGAAAGGACAGGTGGATAAAATTGTCGAGGTGCACTCTGCCCAGCTGGTTGGGAGCTTTCAAGAGCTTCAGGTGCTCCATGCCCCTGGCTGGCTATGCTGCTAAGAGGCCCCCCACTGTGATACGCAGCCTGCTGTGCCTTCCTCCTGGCCGGCACCAGCTCGCAAACTGGCTGCCCCGCCATTGTGCCAGGCCAGCCAGAGGGCAGCCACACCTGCGGCAGCTACAAGTGCAAAGCATAGAGGCTTCTCCCTGCATGCTCAGCACACTGGCCCTGGCAATGGAGGCAGGTACTGCAGCCAGGAAGCAGGAAAGAGCTCTTTCCTCCTGACAGGCACCAGCACCACTTGCCTGTGATCCCCACCATCGCTCCAGGGGCTGAGCAGCTCCAGAAAGTAGAGCTTCTGGGCACTAGAGGGCGGCACCTACAAATATGAAACATCAAAGGAACCTAGTTCAAACCAAAATCCCATAAACACCAGAAAGAGGGCCAAGTGAAACTAAACTCATCAATTTACCTGAAAGAGATTTCAAAATTAAAATCATAAACATGCTCATGGACCTACAGAAAAATATTCAAGAACTCAGGGAGAAATTCAGGAATGAGATACAAACACTGAATAATTCAGTATCTTAAGTGAAACATACAATGAAGGGATTTAAAAGCAGATTAGATGAAGTAGAGGCGAGGGTAAATGAAATAGAAATCAGAGAACAGGAATACAAAGAAGCTGAGGCACAGAGAGAAAAAAGGATCTCTAGGAATGAAAGAATATTGAGAACTGGGTGACTAATCCAAACATAACAATATTTGCATTATAGGGGTACCAGAAGAAGAAGAGAGAAGGGATAGAAAGTGCCTTTGAGGAGGTAATTGCTGAAAACTTCCCCAATATGGGGAAGGAGATAGTTTCTCCGGCCATGGAGGTGCACAGATCTCCCAACACAAGGGACCCAAGGAAGACACCATGACATGCAGTAATTAAAATGGCAAAGATCAAGGATAAGGACAGAGTATAAAAAGCAGGCAGAGAGAGAAAAAAGATCACATACAAAGGAAAGCCCATCAAGCTATCATCAGACTTCCAGAAACTCTAGGCCAGAAGGGAATGGCATGATATATTTAACGTACTGAAACAGAAGGACCTCCAACCAAGAATCATCTACCCGGTAAGATTATTGTTTACATTTGAAGCAGGTATTAAACAATTTCCAAATAAACAAAAGTTGAAGGAATTTGCCACCACTAAGCCAGTCTTACAAAATATGTTAAAGGATTAAATGTATTTGGTGTATTTTCATATTATATGTGTGTTTGGGAGGAGGTTTCAGTCTCACCTCTCACACCGCCATCTTTAAAGCCCCTTGTTTTTAAATGGGAAAAACTGTGTCTTTATAGCAGAAGGAGCATCCAGAGGGAAAGCACCAGCCAGAAGTTCCCTTTATTCTATACCTATTGGATACATTTGGGGTCCCTGCCCTAAAGGAGCTCACTGGAGGGGGCAAGAGGCATTTAAAATGGAAAACATACAATTCCACAGAAATGCTAGAAATGCTGCAGCAGAATTATGAACAAGATGCCCAGCTTTTTTCTCCCTGTTATTTGCATGGAATATCTTTTTCCATCCTTTCACTTTTAGTCTGTGTATATCTTTGGGTCTGAAATGAGTCTCTTATAGGAAGCATATAGATGGGTCTTCTTTCCTTATCCATTCTGTTGTTCTATGTCTTTTGATCGGTGCATTCAGTCCATTTACATTTAAGGTGATTATTGATAGATATGTACTTACTGCCATCTTATTAACTGTTTTCTGTTTCTTGTAGCTGCTCTCTGTTCCTTTCTTCCTCTCTTCTTGTTATTGATGGTTTTCTTTAGTTGTAATTGGATTTGTTTGTTTTTTTAAATTTATTTACTTATTTTGTGTGTGTCTTTATTGTAGGCTTTACTTTGTGGTTACTAAAGGCTCAAGGGTAGCTTCCTTCCTACATAATAGTCTATCTTAAATTGGCCATGGAGTGAGAGAGACCTGGGGTAGTGGCTGCAATGAGCCATGATTCTTATGATGCCAACTTGTGGCAGTTATGACATGGGAAGCACCAGACACCCAGCAGGCACTCAGCAAGAGCTGTCACAACCCCCACCCCCAAAAGCAAAGTCAGAAGAAGTCTTTCCAAGGTCTCCTGAGAAGTAAACCAACACATGGAAATATGGTCAGCCTCAGAGCTATTAAAGGAACAGAAACAAACTATAATGAGATGCTATTTTCACAATTATAGATTAGGAAAATAATTTAAAGTCTGACAGTATTTGCACAAGCTAGAGTTCAAAGGTCACTGCAGCCTGTCTCCTCGCACTGGCAGCAGGCAGTGTCCCAGGGCTCATGGCTATACTCACTGCCATATGGGCATCGCCTCAAGTGGGCTCACAACAAGGCACTCTCTCCCTCCTATGCATAAGATAGAAAAATTTAACCCCCCAAAAATTCACATTGAAAAAAGGTTTATTTAAAAAAGTTCTAGCAGCAAGAACTGTAACAAAACAAAAGGAGAGATGGACAAACAAAACAGAGGGGCAGGGTCCCACAGGACTAGCCTCTTCCTCAATCCAGTTCTTTATACCGAGCAAACATGACTCTCCGCACAGCATCTCTGTAAGTCTCATTGGACTGTCTCTTGCTGGTTCTTCCTGGAGTCCCCACACTGGGCCCCCTCATCCGGCCTTCAGCCTGCACAGCAATGACAAACAATGACACAGACTCTATGAATTAATTAGCCTCAGGGCTGGTCCCTGACCACAAGCATTTCTGGGCCATCAAAGAGGATATAGAATTTTTTAGAATGTTTAATAAATAAACACTCAAAATGAATAAAGAGGGTGGTAACACCATGGTTTCAGGATGCAGGATCCAACACCAGGAATATGGGGGCCCAATCCTGACAGCTGGCATTTTCCAAGGGGGCCAAACTAACACCAGTGGGCAACGTCCCCACCTGTCATCTCTTCTCTAAAGACGAGGGACAAAGCCCTTCTTGGGAACCATGACTAACCTCACACTCCTAGAATTCAGCCACTGAAGATGTCTGAGGACAAGCCCCTCAGAGGTGCCTCTGTGCCTTCCTCTGTTTCCTGGCTCTTCTCATGGAAGGACTCTGGAGCTTACACCCGTCTGGGTCCCACACCGCCCACCTCTTTCTCTGCGTAAGGACAGGATGAGCCTCATTCCCATTGCCAACTGACCTGAAGGGCCCAGCACGCCTAGCTAAACCCAGCAGTCACGGCCTTTGCTGGCTGTGGGGGCACCTGGCAAAGAGGCAAGGGCACAGCTTGGGCCAGAGCAAGACAAAGTTACACATATTCTAGGTTCACGCCACCCCCAGCAAGATGGACACCATCTCACCTCCTCCGCTGAAGCCAGCCCAGGGTGGCCATGTCCGACTCCCTTCCTCCAGCCAGTGGCCTGCTGGGCACAGCCTCCTCTGCTGCTGTCGATATCTTCTCTACCAATGGGTTTACGATCACTGCAGAGGAAGCAGAGATACTGAGGCACTGCCACTTCCAAACTGAACTGGTTGTGAGCCTAATAAAAACCTCTCTGTCCTCTTCATTCAGATTTGCCTCCTTTTAAGTATATTAAACGATGTCTCCGAGTCCTACTATGTATTCAACAGGCTCTGTACTGGGGATGCAGAGATGACCAAGACCTGACCCTGTGCAAGTGGAAGGATGTGAGCAGGTATGTCAGTGATGCTCGCAGCACACTTACGAGCTCAGCCCCGGTAGATACCTGCTATAGGAACGGCAGAGGGGACACAAACTCAAGGGCATCACCAAAAATGACCAATTCCAGCAAGGGGTCACCTCTGAACTGGACCCTGACAACCTACTAGCTCGTGAGAGAGACCAAGCATGGGGGGAGAGGAGGACACAAGAAAGACGAGTGAAAAGCCACAGCAATCTGGGAGAGGGGGCAAATGGCTGCTCGGGCCAGCCGGCCGTGGAAAGTATGGAGCATCCTGTCAAATCATGACTCAGGCTACCTCCTTCAGGCAGAAACCCTCTGGGCAGGGTACACGTTCACAAAAAGGTGAACAGATTTTAGGAGCAGATTTCTGTTGACAAAGGCCATTCTGCTGGCAGGGCAGAGAATGCACTGAGGAGTGTGAGTAAGGAGCCCGGTTTGGAAGGGGGCTAGGAAGGGGGGCAAAGCTGGATCAGGGACGTGGCCATCAGTGATGAGGGGGACAAAAGAGGGCAGAGGAGGAAGACTGCATCAGCTCAAGCAGACTGCGATGCGAGGACACTGCTACTCTTGAGCTGGGGACACCGCAGTGCGGTAGGACTGGCCTGGAGTCTGGTGTGGAACAGAGTCACGCCCAGTGTGTGGCACCTGAGGGGGGCCGAGAGAACCGGCCCAGGGGGTCAGCTAACAGTTTTCTAAAACAGAACTGCCTTGGGAGGGAGTCACAGGACGTGTCAGCCTCCACGTGGTGGCCGAGCCTGGGGTGCTTCACAGTCCAGGTCAAGAAAAAGGAGCACGAGGGCAGGGCCCTCCCGAGTCTCTGGCATTGCCCAGAACAGGAAGCGCCGAGGGGAGCAGCCAGCAGAGGGCAGCGGGGGTGTTGAGAATGGAACACCCGGCCCCGCTGGCGTGGGGCTGACGTTGTCCCCGCTCCTCCTGGCTGGCTCCTTCACCTTTGTCCCAGTGTACTTCAAATTGCAGAGGGTGACCCAACGACATTACCTTGATTAAATGGTCCCACTTCAGCAAGTAGAATAGGCTAGGATAAAAATATCAGAGTTTTTTGTACCCAGTAAGAAATATTTTTCCTGAAGATTTCTTTTTCAATTATGCAAACATATACAGACACACACACACACAAACGATTACTGGGCAATGATTAAAAAATAACCCCTTATTCTGGGCTGTGCGCCAGTGGAATGCCAGAGCCCCAGACCCCACCTGGCCTCCCTGGAGTCTGTCTTCCTCGGCTGCCTCCCCACTGGCACAACATACTCGGACTATAAGGTCTTTCGCTACCAACATACAGCCCTGCTCAGGTCTCACTGGATCAAAGCCCTGTTCACAGTCACCTCACAGCCTCCCGTTGCCCTAAAACAGTCTTAGCATGGCAGTCAAGGAACATCAAATTCATGAACTGCCTCCATCTGTGGAGCCAGCCTCAGCTGCCGACCACATGTCCCTATCAGGCCACCTACAACTTCCCAAATGCATCATGACTTTGCTCACTTTCATGCATGCTGTATGCAGTTTCCTTGAACTGAGACCCTCCCCTTCTGCACCAGGTTTCTGTGTTTTCCCTATGAGGTGTGCATCACCAGAGCATCACCGGGGCCTTCCTTATTCTGGGCTCAGGCAAGGACAATGTGTGTCTTGTCCACCGAAGACTCCACTTTAGTGCAGCACCTGCATACAGCACGTTATCAGCAAATTCTATATGACTCCAGGCTCAGGACCTGGGGCCTACCTGACCAGAAACGAGCACGGGAAGCTCAAGGTCATGTATCTCTATCAGCTCTGTCAGCCACTTGTTCAGCTCCTATATGTGAGAATGGAGGTGCCTGAGAGAAGAAGGCCAAGAGTGTGATGTTCTCCTCAGGCCCACAGGCAGGTACAGCATCACTGATGAGGAAGAGGGCTCCCCACCATGGCAGCCGGCCTATCATCCACACAGACACATGTCCCCTGTGCCGATGGGTGGCCAAAGGCTGGGGTGCAGCATGCTTCAGCTCAGACAGAACCTGCCCCCGACGCCTCACCCCCAGAGAAAACAGCAGACCCATGGGAAAAGGACACGGTGTCGGCACTGGGCCTGGAGGCCTCGTCTGGGTGAGGAGTCCCTGGCTTACCTGTCAGCCTCCCTGGAGTGTTTAATTCGTTTCCTTTCTGGAGAGTCAAGAGATTGGGACTTTTCCCTGCGGTCATGTCCTCGTTCTTTAAACCTTCCCTGTGGGTAAGCAGAAGAGCGGCTCTGAGATCTCCATGGGGGTCAGCGAGCAGGAACCCCTTGAGTCCTGACGATGCTTCCAGCGTGGAGGCGGCTCAGGGCAAAGTCCTGCCATCTCCTCCCACACACCCTGCTCAAGAAGGCAGTGGCTTCTCTGACTGGCAAGTCTGGGAAGAAGCTGGCACACTTGGCCCAGCCGTCCTTTCCAGTGAAGAGGAGATGTGCTCCCACAGGCTCCGTGAGATGGCGCCCTACGTGTGGGACAGCCTGAGTGCCTGTGTGGTCAAGGCAGCAGGTGTACTGTACCTGGCTCTCACACTAAGTTGCCTCCAACCCAGCCTTTAGGAGGAAGATGTTATTTCAGTAGCCCTGGCCAACACCCCTTCATTGATTTTAGAAGCTGGGCAGGAAAGAGGAGTGTGATTTACCTGACCTACCTGCAGACCCTAACACCATGCTTTATTAAGGTACGACTTACAGACATAAAATGCACCCATTTTAATGTAGTTTGATGAGTCTCAAAAAACATATACATCACTCCTAGGGCCCGTTGGTTCTATGTTCAGTACGGCGTACAAATCCTACACCAGGCTGCCAAAGGGGGTGTGGCCAAGGGAGTGACAGGTCGCCGGCCCTACCTGCTGCTCTCTCCTCTCCAGATAGGCAAGCTCCTGCTCCGACTGTTTTATCTTCCGATGGATCTCCAGGTTTTGCTGAGAGGAGAGGAAGTTCTGTGAGCACAGGGCTAGAGAAAGTGGCCCCAGAAATGCCTCCAGCCCCCAACAGCCATTCTGGGGTTGTAGGTCCTTTCACAGACCAACTCTCCTGAGTGACCCCTGCAGCCCACAGTGACACCCAACCAGCCCTGCTGGAGGCCCACTGGTGGGAAGCTGGCTGGTGTGCTGGTTGTTCCCCAGACTGATTATGTGGCGTGGTGAAGGGAACAGCATTCCACTTCTCCCCAAAGTGTAGAAAACAGCAGTCTGCTTTGCATCCCCCTCTCCGAGGGGCACGCAGGGTAGGTCCCTGAGCACGCACGCTCCATCCCTGCCTGCCGTCCTCAGACTCTGCTCACTGCTAAGCCCCAGAGAACACAGCAAGGAACCCAAGGCTCTAAGAGAGCAGACGGCCTGCTCTGAGAGTCCTGTCCTCCTCGGGGGTCCCATTCCTCGAGCAGAGCTCCCTCTACGATGCCCCCAGCATGGGTAAGAAACTCCCGGTGTGCAGAGCAGCCCCGTACAGAGGGCGATCGGCGCCGGGTCACTGCCCGGCAAGGAAAAGCCATAGTTCACTCTTTGGACTCACAAGGCCTTTGGCTCCTCTTTTCTGACAACTACTTTTTATATCTTTAGCCATTTACTAGTATTTTCATCAGAAACTCAGCTGGAATTTAATCGTCAGCCTGCTGACTGAGAAGCCCAGGTCAAAGGGACTTGGCGGGTAGTGTTGAGGGACTGTCAGAGGCAGCTGGGAGCAGAGGTGAGCCTGTCACCTGAAGCAGAGCTTCTCAGCTTGCAGCTATGTAAGACTTTGGGTTTCATACGCACAGTCTAAACCCTGTCCCCTCACCTGCTTCAGCAACACCTGCTGAAGGAGAGTGAAATAAATTTCTCTCTACTGGGAGCACAAGCCCCTCTGCGGTCCATCCGTCTGTCCAGAACCTGGCTTCTTGGTGAGGACACACAGATGGAAGGAGTGCAGGGGAGGACCAGTGTGTGTCAGTTTACCACCCTAGGCATAGCTGCCATGCCACGGCCTGTAGAAGCGTACCTCCCGACATGGCAGGGCAGATGTGACCCACCTTTGGGAAAAACTGCACACTGTCAGAGCCAAACAGAACGGAGCGAAGCCGCCAAGCACCAACGAGGAGTAAAGGCTCACCTGAGGTCTGACCGGGGTCACAGCAGAGCTGAGACGAGACAGCCTTGTGGTGGGGTTTCCCACCCCATGCCCCACTCCAGGTTCAGCATGGCCTCCGGGTCTGGTGCCCCAGCCCTGGCCATGCGGCTTGCCTCGGGTATACAGAGTGGAGCTGTCTGAAGGTGGGCACAGCCTTAGTGCAGAGCCACTCATGCACAAGAGCAGACAGAGAAGCTCTGTCTTGAAAGGGACTGATTTAATTCTAGGAGCTGGGGGCCGATAAGCACCAGGGAAGGACAGCATAAGCTTCTTTATTCCCCATGATGTTCATCAATGCTGAGAGTCAATAGTTGGAATGGTCAGGCCACTTCCCTAGTACCTTGTGCAGGTCTGAGAGCTGCTGGTGTTTGATCAGAGCCTCCTTATTGGGAAACTGCCTTCTGCAGAGCAGGCAAGCCAGCTTGCTCCAGTCGGTGAGCCTGTCCTCCCCATTCTCCTTCCTGCCCAGCCCCTCCCGCTGCTGGGGCTGTGCGACACAGGGCTGCGGAGCCGGGGCCTGCTCCTCCTCCTCCTCTTCCTCGTAGTCGCTGTCTCCTCCGTACTCGCCCAGGAGGCCGATCAGGGGGTTCACCACCTTAGGCTGCAAGAGAAGGCCAGGGATCAACACCGGCACAGCCTCTCATCTGGGGCCTGTCCTTTGGAGATTCCGATGTGGGCAGCTCGTTTCTTCTCTTTCAGTTTGAATGATGAACTGGGTTCCAAATAAGCCCACTGAGCACCCTGCTCCCTCCTCAGACGCAGATGTGGCTGGAGCTCCACCCTCCTCCACGCTCACTGAGACGTGCCAGAAGCTTTCCTTAGAAGTGACTCTCACACCAGAACGAAGAAGAGAAGGAAGAGAAAGGGGGACTGACTGACAGCTGAGGGAAAGAGCTAAGAAGTGTCAGGCTGCGAAGAGGAAGAGAAAGCAGCCACCTCCAAGTCACTGCAACCCATGGAGAAAAGGAAAGATCAATTTTGGGGGCTACAGGAACCCCTACAGCAGTAGGGATTTAGGAGGGGGACTGAAAGCACTGCAAGGATAGTGAGTGCTCAGGCACAAAGACCCGGCTCCTGAGGGAGGCCAGCTCCCCAGAGGCACGGTCAGGATAGACGCCACAGTGAGCTGAATTAATAGTGTGGTGCGGGCAAAGAGCAGTTACCAGCGGCTTGCAGGAACTACTGACTAGCAATGCCCAGCCACTGGCCAATGACCAATCAAAAGAAAGCATCGTCACTATTGTTATTTATTTATATTACACATATTTAACCGGTCTCCTGGGATTAGATGAGAGCACCACTTTAAGGCACCTAAACAATGGGTGCCGACGTTAGCATCGTCCACTCCGATCAAGCAGGCAAAGCTTGAAAAGTGGCCCTGCGTGCACTTCATACCTATGTCTGAGAGATTCTCACACAGCACCCCAGGAGGAGAGGTCAGGCCAGGCAACGGGTTTCCTCAGTCACGTAGGAGAGGAGAACTAACAGACCAAGAATGGAACTTAAAAAGGGCCAGGCATCCCCTCATCTGGTGGGAATGGCGACTGCACAAGGGAAGAGGGCTGATTCTGCCGGATCCTCCGGTTCCTCTCTCCTAACAGACAGGAAATTCACCTCACACTTCCTCTTTGTGAGGCAGAGTGCTAAGGGAGCTGCAGCCTTTGACCTTTCTTTCCCAGGGGAGCCTGCCCGCCCCCCACCCCCTCGGTGCCTTACGGGTGGAGGGCTCTCCTCCTTCTTCATGGTGGGGGGCAGGGGCTTCTTAAAGACGTCCTCGGCAGGGGCGGTCCCCTCACTGGCATTCTCCTGGAACTGATCAAACCCATGGTAATTCTTCAGAGATATTCATTAAGAGTTAACTGTTGAAATTAGTCTGATTTTTCAAACCTTCTAATTTGTGAAATACCTGTGATGTTTCTATCATGATTTCGAAATAAAAAGACTTTAAAAACCAAACATTCGGTAAATATGAAGTGACTGCCATCTGTCAGGCATGGGCGGGGCGTTTCTGCACACTGCCCTGTCAGCCTTCCCACAGTCCGCCCAGGCGGGCATCACGCACGCCTGGGAACACGGGGCTGAGAAAGAGTAAGTGCCAAAGGCAGGCCCCAGTGTTGGGCCAGCAGCAGCTCTGAGGCTGGAGCTCTCAGCCACACACTCCCACTCTCCCCATCTCTACATAAACGACCAGCAGTATTAGCAGGAAAAACAAAAATTCAGAGTTCACCCACTCTCCCTAATCCATAACTGCTGTTAATTAGGGTAGATCAATATAATTCTTTGGAAAATTATTTGATTTTTTTTGTCAGGAGATGTAAAAACATTCATCTTTGATTCTGAAACTTTATCCTAAAGAAGTCATTTAAAAGGAGAAATCAAATGCTCAATGCTGCATTAAGACAGCTTAGGACCAGGGAGAGGGACAAGCAGGCAGGGGTGATGTTGAAAATGAGCATTCCGTTTTAGGCATATTTTTAGACTCAGGCATTAAAACTATAATAAGAGTATTCCGAAAATGTGGAAAAAACACTTACGATCAAGCATAAAGTGAGCAAGCATGACCCTGTGATGCCCCCTGCTCCAGTTACATGGCTAGAAATGTGCGTGCTGAACCCAGCTCTGCAAAGGGAGCTGAGGTGCTGGGCTGGGAGTCACTCTGCTGTGCCGCCTGCTTCGCATGTGTGAGGGGGGTCAGGGGACGGCCTGCTGTTCATGAGCCCACCTCCCCCGACATGGGGCTGGGGCTGGAATCACAAGGAGTAGCAGAGCGGCGGCCGCAGGCCCCTCACCCGTGTCGCGCCCCGGTCTGTTTTCTCCTTGCCATCTCTTTTTGACGTGTCCTTCTTGCCACCTGACTTTCCTTGACTGGTGGGTTTCTTTTCCTGTGTCTCTTCTTCCTCAGGCAACCCGGGGTCGTGGGGCACATAAACTTCTTGCTGCAATACAGTTGGAAATAGTTAAACCTACAGAATGGCTCAGGTGCTCAGTAACTCCAGTCTAAGGAACACGGCTCCCCTCAGGGGAAGAGCGGCTCTATCATTCACAAGCCTGAGAGGAGACACATCACACGACCTAAAACGCTGTTCCAGAGGCAAGGACTCACTGCCATGTCCCTGAGGGCCGCATTGCCTGTACCCACAGTGCCATGCAGCACTGGCTTCCACCACCATTCAAGCCAACCTAACAAATACAACTCAGCAGAACACCTGGACTTTGGAAAACATCAGACTAGACATGAGATGCAGATACTAAAACAGTCACTTGGAATGGAGAAATACTCAGTTTCCACAAATTTAAACTTTTCTACTTTTCATGTAATGAGCAACCAGAGAATCCAGGGAATAAAATCTTCCAAGTAACAAATTATAGGCACTTTCCTCAAAAGACTCACTGATGACATAAAGCCAAATGCTCACCTGGGTGGTAGGGTCATAGTAAGTTCCAGCCAAGGGGTCATAATAGTAGCCGGTAGCAGAATCATATATGTAGCAGTCGGATGATGCTGGAGGGAATACACCAGAGCCAACTTTAGTCCCTGACCCATGACGCCCTTGCTGGGGACTCACCATGAACCGCCCAAGAATGAGGCTGGCCAACCCAAACAGGTACAGAACAGGGGGTGCACTCTGCATAAGCACCCATAGTCAACAGCATCTCTGCCAACTTTGTGATCACAAGATTCCCACTAATGCATAGCCAGGCCAAAAGGGACAATAGAAATAAAACAAAGGCCACTTACACTGCTGTCCTTGTCGATTTGTATCTGAAGACCAGTCTGAATTTCTGGCACCTCCCCTCCTATCTCGGAAATATTTTTTACCCTGTCACAGAAAGGCAAGTTAAGATTAAGGGATTTCTGACAGCTGTGCACCTTACCAGTCACCCAGCTGAGAGAATTCAAGATCACTCTCTCAGTCCCTTGAGGGCTGTCCCAGAGCACAACCACTGAAGCCTACCTGATAGTAGTGCATGTGGTCCGAATGGTCCCCGGAGTCATTTCTGCACAGACAATACAACACGACATCACAAGCCTGAGAGCAAAAGCCACTTGAGGGGTGCCTCCCCCAATTCACTGAGAGGCTCTCTCTTTCCCGTTTTGCAGGGAAAGGAACCAACCCAGACAGCAAGCAGGCTTCCCGAGGGGAAGGTGGTGGGATGACTACAAGGCTGTCTGCTGGGGCCAACGGCGACCAGGTGGCAGGGGCGCTAGATGCCCCACCTCTGGGAGTCTGCCTCTCTGACGCAGCCACTCCTGGGCCAAGACCAGCAAAGGGGGGAGAGGAATTGGCTCCCCAGTGCCACAGGATACAAACATGGTCAGGGCAGTCAGTACAGCACTGTCTTGGGTCCCCAGGGCCAAGGATGTGTCAAAACTTTTTTGTACAAACAAAACTGCTTCATCATTTGGGACCCAAAGATACCAACAATCAAGAGGGAGAGGACTGACGTGCCTACTACTACTGTTTAAGGGGAAAAGACCTAGAGCCAGAACAAGGCAAGGTCAGAAACAGCAAACACACAAGCAACCCACACTGGGAAGGCGCCACATCTCACTCTCTGTCTCCCGAGCCAGGAATAGGAGTTCCTTCCAGAACCAGAGTGGGGACAGCACAAAGGAGCCCCACCCTGGGCCTTACCTCCGTTTCCCAGTGGCCAGGTTTACAGCCACCATCTTCCCATCAATGCTGAATGGTGGGTCAAGGTTCTGCAAGATCTTCACCACACGGAGAGCTTCCTAGGGAAGCAAAGACACACTCGAACCCAAAGAGGGAAAAGGCCATGTCCTCTGAAAGAGAACTGGCATGATTCTCCTTCTCAAAAGAAATCTTTCCTAAGCACTGTGCTCTGGCCATAGCTGCGAGAGCGACTGCACACTGGCACATGCAGGCAGCTCTGACAAAGGCTTGAGCAGAACAGTGGTCAAAGTAGGTATCAGTTTCTTGTATAAATTTCAGAAACTCCAACTCTCTTCTTTTACATTGCCAGTGTCATTGCATCAAACCCAGTTTACTAAGGCCCTTGTCATGATTTCCGAGCACGAAAGCTAATAAATACCAATGATTTTCACTACTATCTTCATGTTATTTCCGTAGAAAAGGACCCCACAACAACTAAAATTTCAAGCCACACATCTTACTATGCTGATGGACAGTGACTGCAATGGGGGATGGAGAGGGACTCAATAATTAGAGTGAGTTTAATAATCACATTGGTTTTTTTTTGTGAAATCTTCATAAGAGTGTATATCAATGATACATTAATAAAAAAAAAATTCAAGCCACAACAATCCATTAAAGCAACACTGAGGAAAAAGAGGCAACGTCATGTTATCATCAACTATACCACCACCTGTGGCTAGGCAAAACAAGGTTAAGAAATTGGAAAATTTGCTAAAATCCTAACAGGTTCAGTACTCAGATTCTTCACAAGTGACTAAGTTCTCACTTTAGTATAACTGTAAATTGTTAAATGTCGCAAAATGGGTCTGGAAAACCACTCAGAATTCTAATCTTGAAGGGCAGTCACTTCACCTGAATGAACACTGACCCCAAGGCAGGAACAAGTGGGTAGCACACGAGAAGATCCCGGTGACAGAGAACCTTCAGGCCCTGAGGCTCTCCAGCGGCCGTCCCTGGGTGACGGCAGGGCGGGGAACTCACCGCATGGGAGTCGAGGTCAATAAAGCCATAGGTGTGGCCCATGGGGCCAGTTCGGTTCTTGATGATGCGGACATTGGCCGTGGTCAAGTGGACGTAGGGCTCCAGCACCTCCACTATCGCCTCCGGTGGCGTGGAGCGGTAGATGCGCTTCAGCATGATCGCTGGACGGGCCAGGCACAAGGAGCAAGAGAGCCGGGAGAGTCACAGCGGGAGCCCCAGAGCCGGGCAGGTGACTGCGCTGTCCCTCCGCCCCAGCAAGGCAGTTCCACACCAAAACGCCCCTCAAACACTCCACACTTCTCTGCACTAACACGGAGGGGTGTAGAATGATGCCTTGCTGCACGCCCATAGCAGCTTGCTGCTTGGAAGGTGCAGAGCCCTTCCTCCGGACTGCAGAAAGCGGGGACCTCTCCCAATAGTCTGGGCGGTCCCCCTGGGCTATGGGGCCTACGGGGGGCACTGGCACTTACTTTTGCTCTCTCCGTCTTGGCGCGTCTCCCCAGACCAAGGCTCCTTCTCTCGGTCTCTTCGGTAGGCAAGTCCTTCCCTTCGAGGAGCCAGATACCTTTCCGCTTCTCTCTTCTGATGTCCCAAGCGTGGTTCTTGTCCTTCTTCCCACTTTTTGGGTTCAGGTTCCTTATCGGCTGGCCTTGGGGGAAGGGCGGGTTGCTTCTCTGATGGTGCGGGTATGGATGTTTTCTGAGGTTGAGGGTAGGTTATTAATTCTTGCTTAGCCTCTGTCCCTAGAGGAACAGAAACAGAAAGAGAATCTCCAGCATGTTTTATCCAAAAAACAACTCTGCTGTGATTCCTCCCCATCTGCCATCAAATACCCCTACAGGACCACTTTAGTCCCATAAAAAAGTTCTTTGACAGACTTTAAGTAAGGCTAATGAGATGCATGTGAAATAGTTCATAGAAGAAACTATCCAAGTATTTAAAAAATATAATGTAATTAGTTTTCTATCACTTCCAAACGTTTAAATATAAGAAATTCTATGGAACAGAACAGAGAGCCCTGATATAAACCCAAGCATATATGGTCAATTAATACATGATAAAGGAGCCATGGACATACAATGGGGAAATGACAGCCTCTTCAATAACTGGTGTTGGCAAAACTGAACAGCTACATGTAAAAGAATGAAACTGGATTACTACCTAACTCCACACACAAAAGGAAACTCAAAATGGATCAAACACCTGAATGTAAGTCATGAAACCATAAAATTCTTAGAAGAAAACATAGGCAAAAATCTCTTAAATATAACCAGGACCAACTTTTTCCTGGACACATTTCCTCGGGCAAGGGAAACAAAATAAAAAATGAACATGTGGGACTACATCAAACTAAAAAGCTTCTGTACAGCAAAGGACACCATCAGCAGAACAAAAAGGCATCCTACAGTATGGGAGAATATATTCGTAAATGACTCATCTGATAAGAGGTTAACATCCAAATTATATAAAGAGCTCATATGCCTCAACACTCAAAAAACAACCCAATTAAGAAATGGGCAGAGGACCTGAACAGACACTTCTCCAAAGAAGAAATACAAATGGCCAATAGGCACATGAAAAGATGCTCCCCATTGTTAATCATCAGGGAAATGCAAATTAAAACCACAATGAGATATCACCTCACACTAGTTAGGAGGTCAACATCCAAAAGACAAGGAACAATAAATGCTGATGAGGATGCAGAGAAAGGGGAACCCTCCTGCACTGTTTGTTGGTGGGAATGTAAATTGGTGCAACCACTCCGAAAATATGGAGATTCCTCAAAAAGCTAAAAATAGAAATACCATTCGACCCAGTAATTCCACTCCTAGGAATTTACCCAAGGAAAACAAAATCCCTGATTCAAGAAGATATATGCACCCCCATGTTTATCACTGCACTATTTTTGCAACAGCCAACATATGGAAGCAACCTAAGTGTGCATCAATAGACGAATGGATAAAGAAGATGTGGTACATATACACAATGGGATATTATTCAGCCGTAAGAAGAAAAGAAATCCTGCATGTGCAACATGGATGGACCTAGAGGGTATTATGCATAGTGAAATAAGCCAGGCAGAGAAAGAAAAATACCATATGATTTTATTTATTTGTGGAATATAAAACCAAAGCAAAACAGAAGGAACAAAAAAAACCAGCAGCAGACTCACAGTCACCGAGAAGTGACTAGTAGTCACCAAGGGTGAGGGGTTGGGGCGGGTGCAGCGGGGGAGAGGGAGGAGGATAAAGGGCACAATAATTCTCAATCAATATATAAGTTGATCATGGGGACTGTTGAACCACTGTCATGTACATTTGAAACCAACATAAGATTGTACATTAATGATAATTTAATTAAATAAAAAGAAATTCCTGATAATAGGGGGAGTCTAGGAACCATAATGTTGTTCAAGTAATTGTACATTAATGATATCAAAATAAAAAAATTTAAAAATTAAAAAAAAAAAGGAATAAAGAAAAAAAAGAAATTTACTCCAACTCTAGAGAGATAAATTCTTAATCATCACTGTCCAGGAAAAATAGCATGTGAATCAGAGATCACAGTATGTTTTTTTTTTTTCACAGTAAGTTCTGATTCCTTTTCTTATACGTGGGAGGTTTATAACGGTTATCCTGTTTCTATTCAACATTACAATTAGGGTACCTTGGGGCATGGATATTTAAGCCATAAACAATGTTAAGAAGAGCTATATCCCAAAATAATTATGAAATCCATGAAAACACCTGGACTTGGAATTGAATGCAATCAATGAATATAACACTAGGTTTGTTTGCTTTTTCCTTTGAATGAATATGTAGGAGATAGAGTTGCATTATGTTTAGGGCATTTATGGCATTGCAGGATTGGCAGAAAAATAGGTAAATGTGCTGCAATCAATAAAAAGACTTGATTCTGGAGGTGGGAAGGAGGAGAAAGAAAAGAAAGAGAATAGAGGAAAGAGAGAGAGAGAGAGAGAGAGAGAGAGAGAGAGAGAGAGAGAGAAATCCTTCACAAGACCTTGGACCTGACTGTTATGACCAATGATGAGAACAGATTTGAGGACAAGATTACAAAGACATGGCCCTCGCTAGCAGTCTGGCAGACATACACCCCAAGTGGGTACATCTAGGAGCCGTACCCCTTCCAGTGTCATACTAAGACATCCGTCTCCAATCCTGTTAAGACCACAGGCCTCCGACCTGCGCACAGCTTGGAGCAAATAATTCTATATGTGCAAATAATTTATAACGGGCAAATGTCACTCAAAATGATTCATTTCAAATCTTTTTCTATAGGAGGATAATTTTTCCAATTAATTAGGGGCATATTTTTGCGATTAATTCATTCTTGGAGGGTTCACAGGAAGCCAAATGGCTCAGAACGAAGATAGTTTATGGCAGCAAGGCAGATATAACTTAGTAGCAGTGACAAAGCATCTAGTGAACACCTGCTCTGTTTCCAGGTTAAAGGAGAGCAGAATCTCTACCAGACATGAAAAGCCCAGCTGAGGAACTCTCTGCAGGCGCACTAGTTCTATCCTTGGAGCAAATGGGCCCCCAGCAGGCAACCTGGAGCCCTGCCCAGAGCAGTACTTCCGAGTCACGCCCTGGCTGTCCTGCCAGGACAATGCGAGAAACAGACACCTACCAGCACCCTCTGGGACTGTCGTTCCAGTCCAGACGCCGCTGACAGACCCTCAAGGCTGCTCGCCTACAGGCCCTCTGGAGAAACTTGCTTTCAAGTCAAGTGACTGAGAAGCTGATGAGTTTATTCCTTTACAAAAGTACCATCCTCAATCCCGAGTATTTTCTCTTGTTTATATTTTATTACTTTAACAAATGTTTTTCTGTTGCAGATTGAAGATTCTGACATGTTTAGATAAGAGTGTAAGTAAGAAGCAGTATCAATAGCAAATGACCCCCAATAACTTCAAGGAAGTGGGGGCTCACATGCACTAATGCCAGGTAGACCCCTTTCAACCTAACGTCCTTAAATGGAATCTGAGTAACAATCCTGCTGCCCTCTGGTCAGCTGGCCACCTCAGTCTGGGGACCCTGCAACCACCTCTTTCCCTTGGTGGAACTGTGAGAGCCAGAATCGTCAGTAATAGATCACATGAAGGTAGGTCTCACATTGTACTTTTAAGAGCTTCCAGGCCAACTTGTATTTCAGGATGACTACTTTTTAAGCCAAGGGAAGCACAGGACTGGTTTTGCTCAGCGCACAAAGTAAAAAACACCTCTACTCACCCTCCCTTGGGCACTTGCAGAATGAACATGAAGACCAGTATCCACCAGTGCTGGCCTTACACTGCAAGAGAAAGGGAAGGAATTCAGTTTGGCCAAAACCATTTTTTAAAACCTTATATATTTCCAGCCAATTACACCTGCCAAAAATGAAAGAAGTAAGCCACATTCCAGGTCACCTTAAAGCCTAACCCATCTGGTACACCACACGCAGAGCTGGCCCAAAGAGCTGCTGAGCTGCCTTCTACCAGGCATGTACACTTGGGAGCAGCCCCAAATGCCTGTGCCCAGGACAAGGATTTCTAAAGGAGCACAGTTCACTAAGAAAACTGGGCTGCTCAATGGCTTACACGATACTGCCCCAAAGCTGCTCCCACTCATAGTCTGCACCCAAAATTTGGTCCTGAGCTGGTATGACAGCCCCACTAGGGCTTGGCTGGAACTAAGAATCAATTATCGACTCCTTTCTCAAACACTGATTTAAAAAGGGCATGAGAGGAGGAGGAATACATACAGGTAGTGCCTCTGGCAGCTATTTTGAGGACATTAAAAGGAAAATGAACATTCCCTAGCCCGGAATAGGGAAGAGACACTTTGCAGTGTGAATAGTTTTTCTTGTCTGAACCTGTAAACAAAACGGCAAGACGCAGGCCAGCCCCAGCGCCCGGCCTTCTGCTCCCGAGCTTCCAGGCTCTGAGGGCAAGGAGGGGACTGGCGGGACACGAAGGGCAGGGACCGCCTGGAGGGCACTGACTGGGAGGCTCTGCAGGCGAGCAAGGGAGCACCAGATGGAAGCAGGTGAGAGCAGTGGGGCTGCACGGCCCCTCACCCGCTGGCACCTGCTGGTCAGCAGCTATTACCTCCCCTCTGCGGATGACAGAACTGCGGCCTGCAGAGGCTAAGTAACTGAGGAAGGTCGGTAGAGCTGCCAGCCTCCGTGCACACAGCCTCAGCCACTGAGTGGCCAGGTGCCTCCCTGCAGCCTGTGGCACTTCCCTGGACTCTGCCGGCCTCAGCATGTGTCTTGCTTCAGCCAGTGGAGCGACAGGGAATGTGACCTGTGCGGGCCGGGCAGAAGCCTCAGGAGCTCTGCTTGCTGCCCGGGCCTCTGGTCCTTCCACTTGGGGCCTGCTCCTTGCACTGGGTCCCAGAGGTGTGGCAACGACCCAGAGCCTAACGCGTCCTGTGAGTGAGGACTGTTGTTCCCAGCCACTGGGAGACCTGGGGACTGCGTGTGTGTCGCTGCAGCAGAGCTGCATGTAGCAGAGTCAGATGTAAGTCAAATACTATACAACTCAGCTGTTTAAGGGTCCACCTCAGTGCCTTCCAGTACACGTGGAGTGCCACCACCCCACAGTCCACTTTAAGCGTTTCATCATCCAAGAAAGCAGCCCAGGGGAGCCGTTCCCCACTCTCCCCACAACCGCACAGACCTGGGCAACGTGTGGCCTTTTGGGTCTGGCATGGGGTCCATCCATGTGGAGGCACGTGTTAGCACTTCATTCCTTTTTATTACTTGAACAGCATCCCCTGGCATGGCTACCCCACATTTCCTCTGCTCATCAGGTGATCGGCATTTGTGTGGTTTCCACTTTTTTAGCCATTATGAGTATCACTGCTCTGAATATTTTTTAAAAAGTCAGTACATTCCACATTAAGCCAAAGGTCACATCCTCAGGGTTGGCATCTCTACTCTGAGAAAACAGCACAGAAGTTACAGAAGTAGCCCTAAGACAGCTAACAAGTGGCCTGTCACTTCAGGGCACAATGTGATGAAGCCATTCCATTCTTTCAAGCAGCAGCCTCCACAACAGCTGGATGATTCTGATACCAGAACATTTGTTTCCTGCCAGTTACCAGGAAGAAGTTCAAAATTTTCTTTTTAATGGAAGCTCCTTCGAGCTCTGATTATACAGGAAACAATGCATGCGCATTAGAGCTGATCTAGAAAGCAGAAGATGGCCCAAGACACAGGTAATCACTATTTCTTGATTTTGTTTTTAATTGAGGTACATGCAATGGAATGCACAAATCTTAGCGTGGAGCTCAGTGAATTCCAACACATGTGTTCACATGCATGTGACCATCACCCAGATCAAGATACCAAACACTCTCACTGTTTCCAGCCCCTTCACCTGTTTCATCCATCCCTATTAAAATGTTAAATGTCATCAAAATTGTAATGGCCTTCTTTGCAAAAATGGAAAAGCAGGTCTGGTCCTCAAGTGTGGTTTCCACTTTTTTAGCCATTATGAGTATCACTGCTCTGAATATTTTTTAAAAAGTCAGTACATTCCACATTAAGCCAAAGGTCACATCCTCAGGGTTGGCATCTCTACTCTGAGAAAACAGCACAGAAGTTACAGAAGTAGCCCTAAGACAGCTAACAAGTGGCCTGTCACTTCAGGGCACAATGTGATGAAGCCATTCCATTCTTTCAAGCAGCAGCCTCCACAACAGCTGGATGATTCTGATACCAGAACATTTGTTTCCTGCCAGTTACCAGGAAGAAGTTCAAAATTTTCTTTTTAATGGAAGCTCCTTCGAGCTCTGATTATACAGGAAACAATGCATGCGCATTAGAGCTGATCTAGAAAGCAGAAGATGGCCCAAGACACAGGTAATCACTATTTCTTGATTTTGTTTTTAATTGAGGTACATGCAATGGAATGCACAAATCTTAGCGTGGAGCTCAGTGAATTCCAACATATGTGTTCACATGCATGTGACCATCACCCAGATGAAGATACCAAACACTCTCACTGTTTCCAGCCCCTTCACCTGTTTCATCCATCCCTATTAAAATGTTAAATGTCATCAAAATTGTAATGGCCTTCTTTGCAAAAATGGAAAAGCAGGTCTGGTCCTCAAATTAACAGGGAATCACAAGAGATGCTCAACAGCCAAAACAATTTTGAAAAGGAAAATCAAAATTGAAGAACTCACACTTCCCAATTTCAAAATTTACCACAGAGTTACACTCATCAAAATAGTGTGGAACTGGCATAAGGATAAAATATAAAATCAAAAGTCTACAGAAGTAAGTCTATGAACCCGTGGTCAACTGATTTCCAGTGAGGGTGCCAAGCCCATTCCACAAAGAATAGTTAATTCAATAAATGGTGCTGGGACAACTGGACAGCCACATGCCAAAGGATGAAGTTGGACCCTTACCTCACTGAGAACTAAAATTCACTCAAAATTAATCAAAGATCTACTATAAAAGCCAAAAGTATACAACTCTTAGGAGAAAACATGGGGGTAAATCTTGGATTTGGCAATGGTTTCATGACACCACAGGATGTCAACAGAAGAATAAAACACGAGATGGACTTTATCAGAATTAACTTTCGTGCATCAGAGGACACCATCCAGAAGTGAAAGACAACAAACAGAATGAAAGGAAGTATTTGCAAATCACAAATCTGATAAGGGATTAATATCTGGAATATATGAAGAACTCTTACAACATACAACAGAAACACACCCAATTAAAATGGACATAAACATTTCACCAAAGAAAATATACAAGTGGCAACAAGTACAAGGAAAGATGTTCAACACCATTCATTACCAGGGAAATGCAAATCAAAGCCATGAGATGCCACTGCACACCCAGGAGGATGGCTACTATCCAAAAAAAGGAAAATAACACATGTCAGCAAGCGTGTGGAGAAATGTGAACCCTTACACAACACACTGCCAGCAGGAATGTGAGACGGTGTGGCTGTCGTCTGTGGAGAAGAGGCTAGTGGTTCCTCAGAGAGTTAAAACACAGAAGTTCAATCCGAACCAACTACTCCACCCCTGGGTATATACCCGGAAAAACCAATAGCACGTGTTGAAGACTTGTACACGAGTGTGCACGGCAGTCTTGCTCACAACAGCCAGGAAGTGGGAACCACCTGCACGCCATCCCAGGTGGGGTAAACAAACTGCGGTGCCCCGTGCACCACTGCTCAGCCACAAGGAGCCCGCACACGCCGTGCCATGGTGACCCCTGAAAACACACTGAGGGAGAGAAGGCGGATGGGAGAGGTCACGTACCATATGACTCCACTTACACTGTTTCCTTTTGGGGTGATGAAAAAGCTCTAGAACTGGGTAGTGCTGATGACTATACAGCACTCTGCATGTACTTAATACAACTGAATTATATGCTTTAAAATGGTTAAAATGGTAAGTTTATTGTCATGTGTATTTTATCACAATTTAAAAAAATGTTTTCCTAAACTGCTATCCTCAGGTAGTATATCCATGATATACGAGGGCTTTGGTTAAAGACAACCACAGCTATCAAAATTGTATTTCACTGAGATTCATGTCAAGTTAATGCTTTTACTGAATTTTATCAAGTTCTATAATACTTTTAATGAATCATGGTTCAGCAACTTCATATATATTTCATAACTGTTTCCAAACATAAGCAATAGCAATGAAAGTGAGAAGCTACATTTTCATGCTCATTGGCAATCAACTGGACTTCTAGTAAGAGAGCTTAAATTCTTTAAATATACCATTCTAGAAGAACATGGAGTTTAACGAGGTCAAATGCCACAATACCTGAAGTTCTAGATCCTTGGAAATTCCCAAACATCCAAAAAATGTGTATCTCCCACAGAGCTGGCCTCTCTAAACCCACCTTTCCAAGCACCCCCAGGAAGGGGACCAAGGGAGTGGCCGTGGGACCGTCACTCCTTCCATTTATCCCTAGCAGAAGGCATGACATGTCCTTGGGAAGCGTCTCCGACTGCAGGCCCAGAGCCCTCGAGGCTGCAGGAAGGAACTGGGCGCAGGGATTATGGATGACCGTGCCTGGCCTCCAGCTCATCTGACTGGACACCAAGAAGAGCTTGGCCTTGAAGTGCAGCTTCCAGGCTGCACCCCAGAGACACGGAGCAGCTGCGGTGCTGGGTCCTCCACTGCTAAGGAAAGGGATTCATGGCGCTTACTTACCCGTTTGCAGTACCAAAAATCCGGACTTGGTACATACTCGAGGGTAACCTCCTTGTCGTGGATCATCAGAGTTCCCTGTGTAGACAAGGACAGATGCCATCACCATCAACCCCAGAGAACTGGAGGGACAGGAAGGCACACAGCTCTTCCAGTCCCGTTGCTGAAACATCTGACAGAGGAGCTTACTCCCTGGCAAAAGGAAATGACTGTCTGAGCCACAGACGGGGGCAGTGCGGCAGAGCAAGCTTAAGCTTTGGGTCAGGGCACGGGCACAGGGGAACCAGCCTTCGGCCTTGGCTCCTGGGAGCTGGGGCACTGTCCTCAGTGAGGCCCAGCCTACGCCTCCAGGCCTCAAGTCAGGCACTCGCGGAGTCCCAGCACGTCCCCCACCTGGCTGGGGAGCTGGCACACACACAGGGGGCCAACTCTTCCTTCTGCAGCAGAGACACCCTGTCAACTATCTTCTTGTCCACGGCTGATTCAGATCTCCTTGGAGAGGCGACAGGGCTTACAACTGGTTCCTGAAAACCTTCTTTGGAATGCTGGCTGTGTGGCAAAAGCACCAGGAGAAAGAGGCCCAACACTGATGACAGGAAGGAGGAAGGTGAAGGGGTCAGGCAGGTTACAACCTTTGGGCAGGAAACTGAATGGCTGCTGGCACAGTGACAGGACAACCACCTTGGAGTCCTGGAGGGAGTGGCAGAGGCTCTAGGCAGCAACCACTGGCCAATAAGCCCTCTGGGAAAGTCTGGCATGGGATCAGGTGGGGAAGGGGCCCAGCGAACCTGCAGCCACAGAGCTTCTTCACCTCTGCATTTTGGACAAGTCACAAATTCTATTTCACATGAAGAAAACATAAGTTTTCTTGCATTAATACTAGCCAGCAGCCATGTGTTAGAACAGAAGATAAACTCCCTGCCTGCCGACAAAGAATGCCCTTCCGCCCCTGCACTTGCACGTGAAATACCCCAGCTGTGACTCTGGGGCCGGCAGCACACTGCATGCGCTCTCTGCTCCCAGGGGTCTCAGCCAGGGTGCTGTAGTACAAGGCAGCGCTTTGCAGTTGGAACTCAGTTTCTTGCTTACAAGGCAGCGCTTTGCAGTTGGAACTCAGTTTCTTGCTTGAATGCATGCATCTGTCAAATAATGCTTCACCTCTCTGCTTTTCATACCAAGAATCAAGAGAAATACATAGAGTAAAATTGTCTTGTCAAAACCAAAGGAAAACTGCCCGCCTACGTAGGTCTTAGAATCTCTGAGAATTGTTTCCCAGCTTATTCTAAAGGCTAGAGAACAATGATAAAAATTTGCTGACATTTATGAGACACTTACTCAGAGCCAGAAACTGGTAAGTATGTTGTCTTATTTGATGCTCCAAGTGATCTCATGAAGTAACATGACTTCTTTACAGATGTGGAAAGTGCTTGGCGAGCAAGGTCACCCAGCTGGGGAGGGGCAAAGCCAGCACACACCAGGGCCTCCTGCTGCGGTCGCCCGCTCCCACTCAACATCAGGGAGAGGCGACCTGCCCACAGGAGTCCATCCAGGGGAGGGGACAGCTCTGCCCGCAGAGGGGTCAGGGGAATGCATGCCACATTGCTGGAGGATGGTCGATGGCACCTTTCCTGACAGAGGCAGTAAATGACATCATTTAAGAATATGGGCTTGGCCGGCTTCCCTAAATTTAACTCCTGCCTCCAACTCACGGCCTTTGGGCAGGGTGCTTACCTTCTCCGCACTTCAGTCTCCTCATCTGTAGAGTAGGGACCACAGACTACACTTGACAGGTGGCTGATAATTAAGTAGGTGAATACATGTAAAGACCCGAGTGTGGAATGGAGTGAGGACTCAATCAATGTGCCTTGAGCCCTGAGAGCTAGGAAAGGACCGGCACCAGCAGGCAAGGCACGGCAGGGTCAGATGGCCACTTGCTCCGTCTCGCCTGCTTGTCAGGCAGTAGTATTTCCCAATCATGCCCATCATTAGGCTGAAAGACTGAAAGACTAGGCTGCCAAAGGGAATGGCCACTGCATCCAAGAGCTTGCATTCTTACGCTTTTACTGAAGCACAGTGGATACACAGTGTTGGTTTCAGGGGCACAGCAGTGGCCTGATGGTATCATACGCTCCTAAACACTCACAGAACCTGCGTCTTTAGGAACACTTAGTAGTAGCTCTAACCACTGGGCTAAATCTTGGCGTCCAGACTGAATCCACTGATTGTGGGCCTCAGTACCAGGCGCAGCACTTGCTACAGAAAAGGAGCTTAATGAGCACTGGTGGAACGACCAGAAGGCTGACTGGCTGGAGTGCCCAGCACACAGTGGCTCTGGAGGGAGGACCTGCTGTCACGTGCACGTGTGTGCACCCAATCCATAGGACGTGGGCTGCCATGTGCACGCCCACAGTGCCGTTGCAGCAAGGCACTGCTGTGCACTGTGGTCAAACTGCAAACCCTGATCTCGCCACTTGGTGGCATCAAACAATTCGGGAATCATCAGGCAAGGAGCACTATGTATTTCCCAGGTTGCAGCTATGCCGTTCTAGGGGCTGCGGATGCCTGCGGATGCAGACGGCAGAGAAGGCCTCCTGCCAGGAGTATTACTGGGCACATCAATTTTCAGATTTCCTTTGCCTCGCATTAAAGGCAACAATCTCTTATTCCTAGTCCCCTACAGCAAGACAGCCCTTTCTTTTCAACCTGCACGTGGCTTGACAGAAGGCCGCCAGAGACCACTGGTAACAATATGCCATGATCTTACCATTATTGTTGAAGAACAGCCAACTGTTCTAACAAGAAGAAACCGACACAGAGAAAACCTGATTGAGAACAATCTGGTTTATCTATGATTTGATTCCCTGGCTGCTGTCACACACAGGCTGCCCAGGCACAACACACACCACACCCCCACCCAGCCAGACCCTTTCTCAGGTTTCAGAGTGCAGGTCTGCCAGGGTCTGCTAGGGAGGCCCCCGTGGGGAGGTGGACTATGACTGGGCAGGATGACTTCATCACTCTTTGGTTGTCCATGTTGTCTATTACCGACCATCTGCACACACTGGAATTTTTATTCACCACTTGAACTCACTGGCTTATCATTAAGCTACCAAAGCAAAGGAGCCATGAAGCCCTGAGTCTGATTGACCAGGTGGCTCCTGAAGAGATACCATGTGTCTGCAGTAAAGCCACTGACGCCTCCCTTCTCAGCACTGTTAGCTTAGGCCTAGATTAGATTAAACCTGCCCCAAAGCGCTCCCTGGACAAAGTCACATACAGTGTTCCTAAGTGTATCTCATGGGGTCTTCATGGGAAGCTGCCTGAAGCTAGAGGCACGGTGTCCTGAACAGCGAGCACTCCTTCTTCCCTGCCCAGATACCTGGAGCTGCACACTCTGGGGCTGTAGGTGCTGAACTCAGGACCCACATTCCCACGTCTCCTTCCGGTTGCTGCTTTCAGAGACTGTGTCAGTCCACTTTGTGACTGAAAAGGGCTTATCAGAGGGCTGTGGCTCTGCCACGTGACCCAGCTGGCTCAGAAGCACGCCCCAGGGTTTCTCAAGGTACTGGGGAGACACAGAGGAAACAAGAGGAAGGGATGTGTCTGGCTAGCAGCTCTGCGTCTCTGTTCACGATCTCCAACAAACGGTCTCAGTTGTACTCTGTACTGACAGCGCGGCTGCTGCGTGATGGAACAGATCAGCCCACTGAAGCGCAGACAGACAGACAGGGTGGTAGTGAAAGGCAGGGAAAGTATGTGAGCCTTGTGAATACAGCCCACACCGAAAAATTAGTAATCCCTCTTTGTAAATTCGGGCTTCTTCCAAACACAGGATGGGAGAACCACGTTGCTGAGGGCTGAGAGAACTGGTACTGTTTATCAGATATAGTAATCTTTATTCACAAAGCAGTTATAGTTTACCAAGGTAATGTTTGCAATCGGGATCCCCCTCAGTCCACAAGCAGGGCATGTATGAGACCCATTTCCGTAGCGGGAAGTGTGGCCAAGGCACATGGAGCAGCCTAAAACTGTAGCTCAAAGTCTCAAAGTTAGGTTTTCTTCTCACTATATTGCTTTTCTGTTTCTAAACTTTCAGGGAGTCAGCCAGCCTGCAATTCTTGCCACAGCAAACAGGTGGCCTCTGATGAAAAGATGCATAAAGTACAGTCTAAATAAATCCACAGGCCACAGGCCCACCGGAGTCTGTGCAAAGACTGCAGGGAAGACCCTGTTTTTCTTCAGCGGCCCAGCCCCCCAAAGCGGCCGCTCATGCTGACAGCTCTGACAATACTGCAGGCGCTGTGCCGGAGCAAGGAGGCCTGCTAGGAAGCAGCTGCTACCAGGACTCTCAACCACCACCACAAGCAAAGGGACCCACAGAAACAGCAAGCAGAGGAACCAAGTAATGGTTCAAAACAGATGCACAGCATTCCTCGTAGCATAAGAGGGTCATTTTTACAGAAATCTGCAGTCAGGCTCATTCTCTCGGGCACAAGGATATGTTAAGAGTTCAAATAATTTGTTCCCAAAGGCCAACACCAATAGGAGACGGAGGAGCGGAGGGAGGAGGGAAATCCGCAGGCGAGCGCCCAGGAGCTCCGTCCACTGACGGGCGGGCCCTTCGTCCAGCAGATCTGAGCCACCCTCCTAATGGGATCTCTGCCTCCACTGAGGGCCCATTTTGAGGCCGAGGGGCAAGGAGACTGGCTTCTCAGCTGATATTTCTCTTGAGCTGTCTTTTCTTGTCCAGATGAAGGCACAACAAAAATACTTTCTAAAATGCTCCTTAGCAACATTTGTCACTGGCTGACCAGTTTCACCTGCCACTTCCCAAGAGGACAAAGCGGCATCATGCTAGAACCACCTCTGTGCTCAGAGGCAGGCAGCTGGCCTGTGTTCTGCTGAGCCCCACCCACCAGGCTCAGTTGGCCAAAGACAGCGTCTCCAGATGAACTCGGCCCCAACACGCCAGACCAGGCCCTGACGTGCAGCAACTTATTTTAAAGGCGTCTGGTGCTGAGAATGTATCCCACCCTCCCCACCACCACTCCTTGACAGTCGTTTGTGTATTTTAAAGT